TTCATCTCCCATCAGCCATTGCGGGGCGCGCGGCACGACGGGAGGGGGGATGGACGGACACACAAGGCAGTGCCCCACCTGCGACACCCCAACACCTTGAGTCCCCAAATCTTTGTACCTGCCATCACCCGTTAACGGGGCCTCCCGCCACATCTTACAGCAATCCCAGCGGCAGAAAGTTGACCTGATGGAGATCACGGTGTAGCACATGGAGAGCCTGCAACAGAGCAACACCCTGGGTAATGGCTCCCTGGCACCCTGTCGTCTCCCATGGGCTGGGGAGGATCCATCTCGGGGGAGGGTCTGTCTGCCCCAATGCAACCCAGAGGGAGGGTCCACGCGTCCTATCAGGCTCAGTGGGATGCACTCTCTTGCCCCCCGTGGTCTCCTGTGAGTCATATAGGATCTGTCTGCCCCAGGGATGGTCCATGCCATGCTGAGGAGAGTTCATGCTGCCTGCCAGGCTCAAGGTGTCCCTCCTCCCACATCTTCATGGGGACTTTGGGGAGATTCTTGTTGCTGTAACGGGATCACAGAGCACAAGTGGCTGGTTGAGTATCTTCAGGGCTGTGGGGTCTGGGCCCAAGAGGTGTGAACTCAGAGTCATGGCTTCGGACTCCAGAGAAAAGGGGCTGAGACTAGAGATGCCCAGAGACGCACTGTCACCCTACAGCTCCCGTACTGCAGCACCCAAAAGCTTCACTCAGGTTCGGACCTCGTGTTGGGCGCTGCGTGGAAAATCAGAGAGAAACAGAGATGTGTCTGGAGATGGATAGATGAGCATCTCTGGCATACAGAGGAGGGATGGAGAGGTGTGTATGGCATATGGAGGACAGATGGTGATGCTGCAGGCTGACAGGTTTGTGGGTTTGACTTGTGGCTGATTGCCACAGCAGCTCCTGCCCCCCATTTGCTGTGCTGTTTCTGACGCTGACCCATCTCTTGCAGCCACCATCAAGCAGAGCCTGGCCACAGAGCAGCACTACATCAGGGGCTACAGCAGGTGCACGGACCAGCTGCACACTGTGCTCCTCAGCTGCTCAGGGACGGACAAGCACGTGGGCTCCTGGCTGCTGAACAACCTGCCCCAGATCTCACCCTCTCCTGCTCCCAGCGTAGCCTGCTCACCACAGAGACCAAGATCAGCCTCCAGCTGGCCTGGCAGCCACTGACCCTAACGTGGAGAGCCTGATGTCTGGTGGGGGGAAACATCCCAGCATCTCCTTTGTAGTGTCAGGACGTACTATTACAAATTGCTCCCTGTCCCAATCTCCTACCAGTTGCAGTTACTGACATCTGCATAGCAAGTTTTTGCTGTCCTGATGCAATTCGCCACCCTCACAATTCACCAGCCCTGGGTCTAGGAGTAGCCATTTGTGGCAGATGGGGTATTCACAATGTGCTACTTCTGGGAAATCTCTATTTGAAATTGGGACACTCATAAAATGAGTTTTCTAACTGAATACATTTTTCTAAGTTAGAAAACATTTGTTTTATTGAGGTCCAAATTTAATATAGAGATTTCATGCGGTGGGAAACTGTGACAGGGCAGATATCATCCATCACAAACTGCTATTTCTGGACCAGGGCTGAGGCAACCAAGGAAATCAGGCAGCATTCAAGTGCTATGATCACAAATAATAGCCTGACATTAAAAACAAAATAATCATGAGTATTAAAACCTGTAATTTACTATGTCACAATAAAAACGTAGGTCGTGTTATAATAATAATGAAACTAATGTTTTTGAAAAGTCAATAAAAGGAATTAAACTACATTTACAGGAAATTATGATACAGAATAGTCAATTCAAGCAATTAGAACAGCAAAAAAGACAAACCCTGAGCCCTCACCTGCTAACCCTAATCCCAAACCCTAATTCCTGTTCCCTAGTACTCTAACCCCAATGCACTAACACAACTCCTCCCCTAACCTTTGATCCCATCCCTATCCCACACCACACCCCAACCCTAAACTCTGACCCCTCCCTTCACCCTAGGCAACCCAACCCTGACCCCTGCACCCTAACCCTTCAACTAACCCTGATCCCCGACCATCACCCTATTATATCATAACCCCCACCCTGACCATAATCCTAACCTCTTAACTCTAACCCACCTTTGAACCCAAACTCTTACCCAACCTAATCCCTAAAGCTAATCCTAACCCTCGCATTAAGCACAACCCTCTAACCCTCAAACCTGCCTCCCAGAACCCTAACCCCTCCCTTCCCTGTAATCCAACTCTCCCTCTCAACCCCTAACCCTTTCCAAACCTAATTCACACCCTAAACCTAACTTCCCCTTACCCTCACCCTAATCCAACCCCTAGACCCTGACCCTGTAATCCCAACCCTAAACCCTCAAACCCCAATTTCCCCCCTTTTCCCTGGGGGGGAGGGGCGGCTGAGGTAGGCTAGACAGAAAATTGGGGGCCTGCACCCCCCCTTGCCACAAGGTCCCACCCATCTCTATGGCTCTGCTCCCTGCTCCTCTTAAGTGCCAGCCCTGCCTCCTGCCCCGTCCCCCGCATTGCCCTCCTCCTGGCCAGGTTGGCGGCTGGAGCCGGCCAGTGGGGGGTGACTGATGCGCTGGCTGGTGCCATGGTATGGGCAGCTTGGGTGCTCCCGTCTCCTCCTCCTCCTGATGCTGCTCTTGGCCCTGGGGCTGTGGCTCCCCTCAGCTTCCCGCTGCCGTTCGACTGTTTGCAGCCCCCAAGAGCCGTCCGGGTAGGGGAACCTGGCTCTCGCAGAGCCCTCAGGGAGCATCAACCATGGGCGGCAGGCCCAGGAACCTGGGGCAGAGTGTCTGTTCGGGTTGCTGTGGGGCACCCTGAATCCTCTGCCTGCTCTGGGCAGCGCATAGTTAAGTGGGGACTTCTGCGCTGCTGCTGGTGGCGGCACTGTCGTCAGAGCTGGGTGGCCAGAGAGCTAGCCAAGTTGGCTAATGAAAAGTGTGTCTCCCCCATGGGGGAGCAGTGACACCCGGCGGCTAGTCAAGGTACTGCACAGAGTGTGGTGTTTTCCATGGAACAGCAGTGACACCAGGTGGCCAGTTGGGGTAATGCACAGAGTGTGTTTCCGTTGCAGCGACACTGACACCCGGTGGTCAGTCAGGGTAATGCACGGAGTACATTTATTTGGAGCAGCAGTGACATCTAGTGGCCACTCAGGTAATGCACAGGTGTTCCCTTGGACCAGCAGTGACACCTAGTGCTCAGTCGGGATGATGCACAGACAGTGGTTCCCTTGGAGGAGCAGTGACACCCAGTGGCCAGGCGGGGTAATGCACAGAGCATGTTTCCCTTGGCACAGCAGTGACACCCGGTGGCCAGTCAGGGAAATGCACAGAGTGTATCGCCCATGAAGCAGCAGTGACACTCTGTGGCCAGTCAGGGTAATGCAGAGTATGTCTCCCTTGGAGCAGCAGTGACACCTGGTGGCCAGTCAGGGTAATGCACAGAAGGTGTTTCCCTTGGCACAGCAGTGACACCCGGTGGCCAGTTGAGGTAATACACAGGTTGTATCGCCCATGAAGCAGCAGTGACACCTGGTGGCCAGTCAGGGTAATGCAGAGTATGTCTCCCTTGGAGCAGCAGT